TGGGCCGGGATCAACTGGAAAATATAGGCCATCCCTCGCCAGCTCTTCATTCAGATCTTCCCATCCAACGGCCGGCTGGACAATCACATCCAAATCATCTTTATGTAGGGTAACTATCTTGTTCATGCGTGAGAAATCGACACAAACGCCTCCCGGTGTTGGGGAAAAGTGGCCTTCCAAGCTAGTTCCACCAGAGTACGGTGTGACTGGGATAAGTCTGACGTGACAGACTTTCATGATACGGGAAACTTCCTCGGTTGTTGAAGGGAAGACAACAAGAAATGACCTTTCATTTTCTCTCACACTGTATGATGACCATGCAGACCCTGAATGTTCATCTAGATCACCCTGGTCAGTCGACACATTTTCTCTGCCTACAATTTCGACAAAATCGGCCCAAGCAGCTTGTAGATTTGAGGACGAAACGTTATGTTGGGGTGGCTGGGCGTCGATAAGAGGCGTAGTAGAGGATGCCGGAAGCTCTGCTGGCTTTAGAGTACCGAGAAAGTAGCAGCCGAGAGCCGTAACAATAACAGCTAGACAGTGGAAAATTTAATTCATATTAGCGACTCAGTTCCGAAAGTACCAATCAATTGCGCTTAGCCACGCGACTCGGTAGGAAAATAGCTCTGCCTTACTGATGGTCATTGCTGTATATTGGATATGGGGAGATTGCTTTTGCATCCGCGCAAAACGTTGCAGCTCTGCCCGTTCTCGGTCCAGTCGTTGCTGCGTACTTTCATACAATTGGCCCTTGAAGGAGTCCTGTCTCTTCTTTCCTTCTTGCTCACATCTTGCAGAGCCCCCGAAGTTTCTGGCTGGCTGTCTTTTTATGCCGCGAACCGATTGACGGTGCCAGCTGGACCGATTGACTGCAAGTCCCTGCTGCCGAGCGGCGAAGAGCGCAGTGTTCGACGATATAACTCGGGAGCCGAACATCTCTGGGCCGTAACTTGGGGAATATGAAGCTCCCCTGAAGCCCTTAAGCGTATGGAAGGTGTATTTATCGCTATATCGTGTCGCGTTCCGTCGTTTTTTTTTTTTTTTTTTTTTGTCTTCGAAGCTCAATCACTAACTAGTTAACTATTGGAGGATTTAAAGCGGCGCTCGGTTTCTACCGTTTGAAGCTAAGGCATCTGGCCGCGCTAACTTTAACTAGTTAACGAGTTAGTTCACGAGTTTAACTGCCTCGTCAAGGCCTAACTTGACGCTCAGAAAGTATCGAGAGTGGACTATAAAACCACCAACTATATAGATAGAACGGCTGCATTTGGACCTAGGGTTAGATTACAGCCTGGCATTCCTTGGATGGCAAAGTTGGGAGGAATAGACCGTCAGCTGACCTTTACGACGTCACCAGGGAAGCTTGACGGAGACAGCCTCCCGATTATTCCATTCCCGTCCAGCGGGGTGGACGAGCTGCATCCTTGAACAGGTCATACACGAATCAGAGACTGACAGACTGGGCTATTTTACCAGTGGCTGGTGATCCCTAGCGGAGACCACTCCCACATGGAGTGGTAACTAGTTAGATATCAGAGTGCCCAACCAGCTATATTCCACACCCGTCGTCTACGAACAACATCAGCATCTCCAATCTTCTCCTCCACAAGAAATCAAAGACGCCATGGGCCAACGAAGATTTTTCCCGATAGACAAGTCGTGGACCTTCAGGGAAGCATGCGTGAATACCTCCAAGTTTCTTCCCGTCTCGCAGTTCCCTACCTGCATCCATCTGGACCTTATTCACCATGGAATCATCCCAGATCCTTTCATTGGGATCGCTGAGAAACAGGCTCAGTGGGTTGGCGAAAAGGCCTGGGTATACAGAACTGCCTTTGTCGCCCCTCAGCTAGGGGAGAATGAGAAGGCCGTTCTTGCATTCGATGGACTCGACACCTACGCGTCCGTTCATCTTAACGGGAAAGAAATTCTCGAAACCGACAACATGTTCATTCCCGAAAGAGTGGACATTACTTCGCTGCTCCGTGGATCGGATGATGAAAGCAATGTCCTTGAGATTACTTTCGATAGTGCTTTTATTCGAGGTAAGGAGGAACAAAAAAAGCATCCGACGCACCAGTGGGGGTGCTGGAACGGAGACCCGAGTCGCCTTGCTGTGCGAAAGGCACAATATCACTATGTAAGTGCCACTATATATTATGTTTACGTCAACATGATTGACCCTTTGCGTGTGCACTTCTGAGAAATATGTAGGGTTGGGATTGGGGCCCTGTCTTATTAACATGTGGTCCATGGCGCCCAATTACCCTTGAGGTATACTCTGCCCGTATTGCAGACCTCTACTACACCACCAAATTCAAGAGCAGTCTGAAAGAAGCTGAAATATCAATCACTGCTGAGGTGGAAGGATATGCATCTGATGTGGTCTTCAGCCTATCACTCGATACCCAAAAGCAAGACTCTGGAAACCAATTTGTCGTATCTGCCTCAGTGAAGGATGGAAAGGCGGCGGCAACTATACATTTGAAAAACCCGCAACTTTGGTATCCTGCAAGATACGGCAGCCAACCTTTGTACTCGTTGCAAGCCAAACTGATGGGAAAGGATCAAACCCTCGATTTTTGCTGCAAAAGGATTGGGCTTCGAAAAGTTGAATTAGTACAACGAAACCTTGAAGGAAGCCAAGGAAGCACTTTTCTCTTTCGAATAAACGATACCTCAATATTCTGTGGGGGAAGTAACTGGATCCCTGCTGATAGCTTTATCCCCCGTGTATCGTCACAACGATACGGTGACTGGCTCAAGATGGCAGTTGATGGAAATCAGACCATGCTTCGCGTTTGGGGTGGTGGTATTTATGAGCAAGATGCATTTTATGAAGCATGTGATGAATACGGACTACTTGTCTGGCAAGATTTCATGTTTGCGTGTGGAAACTATCCTGCCCACAGAGAGTTTCTGCAGTCAGTTGAAAAGGAGGCAGAGGCTAATGTCAAAAGACTGAGGCACCACCCGTCTATTGTTATTTGGGCTGGTAATAACGAAGACTATGCCTACAGGGAGAGTGAAAAACTGCAATATGATCCTTCTGATACTGATCCCTGCAACTGGCTGAAGACTAATTTCCCTGCCCGCTATATTTATGAGAAACTTTTAGTGGATGTGACAAAGCAACTTACGCCCGATACGTATTATCACTTTGGGTCCCCTTATGGTGGAAAGACCAGCAGTGACCCAACTATTGGAGACATTCATCAATGGAATGGTATGTAAAGTTAGGGTACCAACTAGTTTGAGGGTTTGCTAACTCTACTTTCACTACTAAACAGTCTGGCACGGGACACAGGAAAGGTATCAAGACTTTGATAAGCTGAGCGGTCGCTTTGTGTCTGAGTTTGGCATGCAAGGTCTCCCGAACATAGGTACCATTGATAGCATGCTTTCAATGGGTATCAACGACAAGGATAGATACCCAAATTCTTTTACTCTAGACTATCATAACAAGGCAGCTGGCCACGAAAGGCGCTTGGCTACATATCTGGTCGAAAATATTCGGTACCAGGTTAGTCCGTTGGAGCAATATCTACATTGCACGCAAGTAATGCAGGCAGAATGTGTGTCAACTGCTTACCGCCTATGGAAGCGTCAATGGCAAGGCCCAGGAAAGGAAAATTGCGGTGGAGTTCTAGTATGGCAGCTCAATGATTGCTGGCCAGTGATTTCATGGTCAATCGCTGATTATAACCTACGCCCGAAGCATGCGTACTTTGCTATAAAAAGAGAACTGGCCCCCATTACTGTTGGGATAAAACGGTCTATCCAGCGGGCTTCACTTGAGGGTATCGGATCAGCCTCTTTTACAGTCGAAATATGGGTGACTAACCTCACCTTACAACCTTTTACTGGAAAAGTACAGCTCCGAGCCTGGGATATCGTCAGTGGGCAACAGACACACTTAGAGAATATTAAAGAAGAAACTGCATTTCCCGCGAACCGAACTATAGAACTAGGGAAGTTGGAAATCCAAGAAGCAGTACAAGGCTCGGGGAAGCCATCCCAAACAGTGGTTGCTGCATATCTCATCCGGAATGGTCGGCAAGTTGCTCGTTATGTCAACTGGCCAGAGCCTCTGAAATATATTGATTTCCAAGTTCCACGCACACCAAAGATAGCGCTTTCGGAAGACAAGCGTCTTCTTCGATTATCTGCGGAAGTTCCAGTGAAAGGGCTCGCCGTCTTTTCGAATTCAGAGGAGGTGGTCTTTGATGACAATTGTGTAGACCTCGTTCCCGGAGAGACTCTCTCAATTGGTATTCATGGGTTAAAGAGCGGGAATGTAGATGATCTTATTCTGCGGTATCTGGAGTGATTTTCGCGTACGTTTCGTTTATTGATTACCTTTCTTCTAGCAACGGATATGGTTTGCACGAGCTTCGGGGTGAGTTAAGGCATAATTATAATTTCTACTTCAACTGACTGCCCTAGTTAACTAGCTAGTTAGTTGGTTGACATGCAGTTTGTTGTTTCATTAACTAGTTACCTGACTATCGTAACCAGACTAGCTAGAATGTGAACTGCTAGCATATGTGACCATTCTTCCGAACAGAGCTCCGGTTAAAGAATACCGTTATTCAAGAATATGTATCTCTTAACTACCTTCGCAGGGGTAAATAACTTTTCAAGAGAGCCTAGACATCTCGAGCTGCGGCCTTGAGCCGGATCTACATCTGCCGGAGTCAGCAGATTCGGCCCAAGCCCCGGCGATTCTCCACGTCAGAGTTTTGATGATGATGGCATTCATATCACTCCAAGAGCTTCCAGCTGTTACCTGGTCCACCAGCTGGTTCATGATCTGTCTGGTTATTCGGATTATTGGATAGTTGACTGTTGACCGTTACTTACTACTCCCACATGCCAGCAGTGTCAGCTATATATATCTAGTTAAATTACCCTGCAGGCTATAACCAACTATTTAACTAGTAACTAGTTACATACTTGCCCAAAAGACCGCTGAGCACCAGTTACAACTCTCCAGCATGGCAGCGGGTGGCCCAAAGGTAAGCAATCCCGGCGGAGGGGGTTAGCCATGAGTAACTAATCCAGAACAAATACACAATCTGTTAACAGGCCCTTTCTTATAGAACCTTTCATTTGTGCTAGACGGTGTCAGGAAGGTCAGGTTTGAAGACCGTCCAGTACCAGCACTGAAAGATGCTCATGATGTCCTAATTACCGTGAAGTATACAGGAATTTGTGGCAGTGATGTAAGTATGACCGGCATCTCCTTTCTGCGTATATCTTAGGATGTGAAGTAGCTACATACCCATCTATAAATGCGCCAATTAATACTGCTGCTACCTGCCACCAAACGCCGTTACTGATATACGTGGTATCTGCTAGGTTCATTACTGGGACCATGGGTCTATAGGCCCGTTTGTGCTGAAGGAACCGATGGTACTCGGCCATGAGTCCAGCGGCATAGTCGCCGAGATAGGCTCTGCCGTCCAGTCTCTTAAAGTAGGTGATAGAGTGGCTTTGGAGCCAGGCATATGCTGCCGGCGATGCGAGCCCTGCAAGAGCGGGAAATACAACCTATGTGTCGACATGGTATTTGCCGCCACTCCCCCGTACGATGGAACTCTTGCAAAGTACTATGTTTTGCCAGAAGATTTTTGCTACAAGCTACCTGATACCATGGATCTGAAAGACGGTGCGTTGATGGAACCACTCGGAGTTGCTGTCCACATCACTCGCCAGGCAGAGGTTAAGCCCGGCGATACAGTCGTGGTATTTGGTGCTGGTCCAGTTGGATTGCTATGCTGCGCAGCTTCAAGGGCGTTTGGAGCAGCCAAGGTCGTCTCTGTTGACATCCAGGAAGAAAGACTGGAATTTGCAAAGAAGTATGCCGCCACAGGGGTGTTTCTACCTCAAAGGATCCCGCCAAAGGAAAACGCAGAGAAGCTACGGTCAGAGCATGGGCTCGGTCGTGGTGCGGATGTGGTCATCGATGCGTCAGGCGCTGAACAGTCCGTCCATACTGGCATCCATGTTGCACGGCCGGGCGGAACGTATGTCCAAGGCGGCATGGGGCGAGACGAGATCAGCTTTCCTATCATGGCGGCATGCACAAAGGAGTTGAACATGAGAGGCAGCTTTAGATATAGCAGCGGCGATTATAAACTCGCTCTGGATCTGGTTGGCTCTGGGAAGATCAGCGTCAAAGAGCTGGTAACGAAAGTGGTGGCATTCGCGGATGCCGAGCAGGCGTTTCTGGAAGTGAAGGCTGGCAAAGGGATCAAAACGCTCATTGCGGGGGAAGATGATTGATCGTTGTCTCTATTTCAATGATGGGATGAGCGCTTGCTCAGATTAGGCTCCTACCTATACAAATATTGGGGTGAATTTCCGGGCCCCTTAACTAATATAAGCAGCCTGAGTAACCAGCTAGGCAATCAATCTTGATAAAGCTGCTCACGTCTCTTTGGAATTAAAAAAAAAAAAGCTTCTCAACACAAATAGACATTGCAATACCACTGACAGGCTATAGAGAATGGGGGTACCCAGAATTAAATAAGAAGGTTTCTTTATACATATCAGGATCGAGTAAGGTCTAGTGAATAGGGTATCATGCAGCACAGGGAAGCAACAGTAAACGAGATGAATTAGAATTAAAAAATAGGTTGGGTGAGAGGGAGGGAATGAGAAAGGGGGTAAGTCCTGTGGACGAGCTGTAAGAGCTAGCAACATCTGCCGTTCCTCTGGCGTGGAGGATTTGAACGGAAAACATCCTCCCACTCTCTCATACCGGATGACCATGCGCCTCTTCTGGGCTTCCGTTTCCGGGGTTGTGCGAGCGAGTCGTCAATTGTGATGCCGCTCCGAATGCTTCCGCCGTCACTGGTTCCATATATGCCACCATCACCATATTGGATACCGCTTTGGGGATCATCAGGGTCAATTTCGCCTAGTTCAATTTTGGTGAGGATTATTCGGGCCAGTCTGTTAAATAGTTCGTCCACGTTGTCCCCAGACAGAGCAGACACTTCAACTGCAACAGGTATATTAGACTTGGACGCCCATCTCGACGCCTCTTCCAGCGATACATCGCGGCCCTCTGGTGAGACAGTTGCCGTCAGTCTAGTTCCCACTCCAGGGCTGCCTATTGAGCGAAGAGATCCACCAGAATCAAAGGGAAACGGCGTCTGTTTACTTGAAGTGCTGGACGGGGTCGCTGGAGGTCGGAGAGGGTCGTCCCAGTACTCCTCAATCGAAGCCGAATCCGCAGCCAGATCACTCTTGTTTCCAGCCAGCAGCACTGTCAAGTTGGGAGATGCCAGAGCACGAGCGTCCATAAGGAAGGTTGGGAGAGCGCTGAACGACGAGTGGGATGCAACATCGTAGACGAGAATGGCCCCAGCAGCTCCTCGATAGTATGACCGAGAAACTGATCTAAATCTCTCGGTGCCAGCAGTATCCCACAGCTGGAGCTTTATCCTCTTCCATCTCGACCCCGACCCAACCTTGACTATCTTGGAAGAGAACTCGACGCCGATTGTCTGCGAGGACAGAACCCGCCCTGACGTGGATATTAGATATGGGGCATTCGCTGTAGGATTTTGAATTATGCAAGGAGCGTACATTCATTCTTCACGAATCGATGCAATAAACAGGATCTATCGACCTCCAGCACTCGGGTTAGCACAGACTAGACAGGAGAAGAAGAAGAAGAGAAACGGTTGAAACGGACTTTCCAGCACCGCTGGGCCCCAGCAGGATCACCTTTGCCAGATAATCATACATGCTGCCGAGCTCCTATGTAGCCAAACAAAAAAACACAAGAAACAGCGCCATCAGCAAAAAGAGCATCATCAGGCGTCGGCTCCGTCGCCATGGGAGAAAGACGGCTCGAGAGCTATCGTACCTGGGTGCGGTCCGGCAGCGAGGGGATCGTGGAGGCATTGGAGGAGGCTCGCTGGCGCGCCATGTGTTCCGGGCAGACGAAAGCCGCAAGCGGTTGAAGGCGTTGGTGTTGGCAGTTAGTTGTCCGTGTCAGGAGACCCAGGGGATGCGGATGCTCGCTGGCCCGCCTCCTCCGTCCGCTTGTCTCGCTGCTACTGATGCGCCTGGTCGACGTGCGGTCTGGCGTGTTCGTGGGCCTGGGAGTGTCGTGGTGGACGCGGGAATAGTGGTTGTTGTTGTTGCTGTTGTTGTTGTTGCTGTTGTTGTTGTTGCCGGTGCTGATGTTGATGTTGGTGTTGTAGCTTTTGACGCCAGCCAGTCGCTCCGCCGGGCGCATCCTACTAGTTACCATTAACGACTCCGTAGACTAGCTATACACTAGTGCAGAGAACATCTCTGGCGATATAACTAGATATAACTACGCCGCAGCTGGCGGCCCGCTGGATGTCAGAATGTCAGAAGGCATCGGCCGCCTCGCGATGAACGGCCATGGGGACGCAGAGGCAGAGGCAGAGGCAAAAAGGCTGCCGCTGACGGCTCGCCGAAGCCGTCCGCCGTCTCTCTAGCTATCTATCCTATCCTACGAAGTACCGAGCTACCTGTCTATCTCGCGGCCTTGCAACGCACGGCAGGACTCTGCCAGCTACACTTTCACTGCTGGCGTACCGAACTACGACGGCACGCGTCCGGTAGTAGGCCTGAGTAGACGCCGGCTTGTGGGATGGCGCCTGGAGCGGCTGGACTGCCGTGCCGGTGTTCTGTTAGCCAGGTCGTTAGGTCTTCGTCGGCCAACGAGTTCACAGGCGTCGCCAGCATCGCCAACGGGGCCATCCCAGGCCGCGGCGGGCGCACATTCGCAGCACGGGCAAGCCACATATCTGGCTCTGATCGCAACCTTGCAAGGCCATTGGCGAATAGACCGTCAGCGAGTTACGCAAAGGCGCCTTGGTTCTCTCTTCCTTGTCACAGCCGCATGCACGACGTCGAGGGAAGAGGGGAGTGCTTTTTCTCCCACGGATCGACGGACAGCGCTGGCGGCCGGGGTGGCGTCTTGTCTCTCCAGAAAGCAAGCGAAGAGCTAGAGAGAGATAGAGAGGGAGAGAGAAAGAGAAAGAGAGAGCGAGTGAGAGAGGACAGCATAGACAGAGACAGAGAGAGAGAGAGAGACATCGCGTGTGGGCGGTTCGTTTAACGACACCTTCGCCCCCCCGTCCGTCCCCAGCGACAGAGGCCCAGAGAGCCAGCCGGTTTTGCGCGCCCCCCAGTCCCTGCGAGACGGAAACGACGTGGAGGGGCCGCTGGCTAGTCAGCGAGCAGCCAGGCCAGCGAACAGCCAGCGTGTCTGCAGAGGGTGCAGCCGCTGGGCTCTTCGTATTCAGCTCTGCTCGCCCTCAAAGGGAGGCCGCAGACCCGCCATCTATCTGCCTCCTCCCTCACGACAGATGCAAGTCATCATCACTCAACAGCTTGACCCGTACGTGCCATCCCTGGTCAGCGCCCGGTGCCGGCAGCATTTATTTTGTCCATTATATCTGCGCGAGACGCTTGGAGGAGCCAGCCAGCCAGCTAGTTAGCTAGTTAGCTCGTTGCTGAGAGTTTCTCGATCCCCTTCCGCACCGATCGGTCCTCCTATCTTGCTCCAGCTGAGCCCTCATGCTTCAGCCTCTCCACACCACCAGCAGCAACGCTTCAACTCCAACCTCCAACGAGACCCTGATCGGAGAAAGGATTATCTCTCTTTTTTTCCCCCTTCAGTTTTCTTTTTCTTCACCTTGCGCCCTAAAGTTTCTGGCCTGAGTGAACCGTCGAGCCCTTTTTCAGGCGAAGGAGCCGGATACTTTATATACCCTGGTTGCTTTGTTCAGCCCTGATAGTGGGCACGCCCCAGACACAATCGCAATGGCCATGTTTTCTGTTCCATCTTCAAACCGCAGCTTTGACATTCTCTCTACAATGTCGTTCCAAGATGTACCGCATGCGCCGTTTCCTACTACTGGACTTTCAGCCGAGGATAATCCCTTGCTGATGGGTGGTTTGATGATGTACCCAAATTACGACGAGCCAGGGAGAAAACTGCTTGTCGGGGACAGTAAAGACAAGGAAAATGCCACTGGCACTGGTCGGCAGAAGCAGAAAAGTGTGTCAACAAGGGTAAATATACACAAGAAAGGTGGGAGGGAGACTGGCGCCGCGTCAATGTCAAACGAGACCAAGAAACGTGGACGTCCAAGGGTAGACTGTCCCGATAGAACGGCTGCCGAAGTAAGTCAGATAAAATCTTTGCGTCAAAACTAGATGGCTACCTGCTAACGCCATTCAACAGCGCCGTCGGACTCAAATAAGGCTTGCTCAACGTGCATACAGAATGCGAAAGGAAACCGCAATCTCATCTCTAACCCAGCGTGTTACAGAGCTAGAAGCAAACATGCAAGAGATGAGGGAAGCATTCCTAGCTTTCAACGACGAAGCTGTGAGAAGCGGTGCTCTATCGGCATATCCAAGGCTGGCACAACAGTTGGAAAGGACGACAAGACGGGTCATGTCCTTGACCCCCGAGGTCTCAGAGGGTGGTAAGAGTCCTACAAGTGACTTGGACGAGTTACCAGTGCCGACGACCGCTGCAGAAAACGCCGGCCGTGTTGTTTTGAATAATCCCACAGACACTTATGCCAGTGATGAATCGTGCCAGAACGTTCCTGACAAATTGGGGTATTTCAACACCGAACCCTTGCCATTGAAGGACGACAATAACCTCTTGTATATGAATACTATCCCTACCGATACTACCCAGTTTTATGGCCCCACGACAAATGATGCTATAACCTCTATCAACATCCCTCCAGTCAGCATTCCTGCTTTCGAAGGAACTGGATTGTCCAATTGCCCTATCCCTTCTCCTTGCTCTAGTGGTGGATACCTTTTCAGTCGCGACCTACCAATTACGTATAGCCATCAAGAGTCCAGCTTTGCTCGTCGCCTCCACCGCCGCTCACTCGAATATGGCTACACTCTACTGACAAACCCTGGTACACGACCGGAGCGCTTGACCCACAAATTCAGGCTCACATTCTACCTTACTATGAGAAGCCATCTACATAACTCGTTCACCACCTTGCTACAAAGAACTGCAAACGAGCCACTGGAGTTCATAGAAAAACCACACTTCTGTCTTGGGGGTGCAGGAATGCATTATCCTCGAAGAGATGGTCTTGGAAATAATATGTTTCCTCCGAATATGCAATCCCTGGACCGTGTCCTTGGAACGCTCCTCTCTCAGGTGGGGGAGAGTGAGAAGTTCAGTACCGTGCAAGAATTTATTGAGAAAATGGGACTCGGGGGCACTTGGTTTGATTGCCACGATGTGGAAGGGTATCTGAAAACAAAAGGCATCCACCTGGGCAGTCTTTCTACCTTCATCGAAATTCCCATCTCCCTCGTTGCGAATTCTCGCAAGCTCCTAGCTTCTAATAAACTCACCCATCCCCCTCGCTCACAACCAAATGCCCAAGATGCAACTTCGTCCATCGAAGCCTCATACCCGCCTTTGAAACACCGCGGCGATTATCTCAGTCCCAGTAGCAGCTCGTCCAATATGCGATCACTGGGGCTTGATTCTCAGTTCCTACCTCCAACACCCACTATCGACCAAACTGTAAATATCAGCACTGTAACTCACAGACCACGAACTGTGATTTTGGATGTTGAGAAATTTACCACTCGTGAGTTGAATAGATATTTGCTATCTTCACCTGATCTTATTTTCACTCTATTCCGTGTGTTCACGTAGCTTACCTTGCTTCTACAATTAGAACTAGCAAGTCGATCAACTTGCCTCGGAAGAGCCCCCGGCTTTAGAAAGCAGGACGTTCACGCAGCCATCAATGCATCTATTTGCACGCCTGATGCGTGATAACTCTGTCTTAATATGATTCTTGAATACCTTGATACCCCCTTGCAGCGATGTTACTCTCAAAGCTCCGTTATCCTGCGGCGCTACTACAATACTACGCAGGTTTGATTGAATCCGCTCCTATCATTAATCACTTCAGCCGAATCAGACGACCATAAATGCTTGATAATATCGCTCCTTTGTGACATAACTTCACATCCTTTCATTCCTTACGACTCAAGATTTTATATCTTCTTCACTTGTCCTTTTTTCCAGTTAGCTTCTATCTACGGTTCGTTCTTGCTCTATTTATGGTCGCGGGGTTATATAAAATTGAACCTTATACTATTTTCAGGCGTCGAGATGTTTAACTACTTATTGAAATCAACGGCTGAATCGGCTTCATTTGATTTCAGACTGTATATTTTAAATATATTTGACTATAGTAATAACCAGCGAAACAGACAGGAAATGGGACCGTTTCGGGACAGCTCTATATCACGTTATTAAATTCAGGTTATCAGTAGAGGACTCAAAATAGTCAATACAAGCGGAAAAGCCCGAAATCAAAATGCATAGCAATAAATCCGCGCCGACTAAAAACATAATAAGATCCAAAGCAGTTCTAAACAATTAAAATCAATTCCGCCCATCATCATTTCATCATGAAGTGGATATCAAAGAGAGATAAAAGAAAAAAAGTACCGAGCTCCATAGAGATGAGTAACGCGTTATTAGGAGGTGGGTTAGTTATCATCAGGGTCGTTAAGGGTGATACTCTCTTTTCAGTTTTCTTCTTCCGTCAGTTATGTAGTTGATCAAATATATCGTAATTGAATCACTAATAAAGGAAAAGCAATTTCCTTGCTCAGAGAATATTTTTTCTCAGGAGCTACTTAGTGGTGACGCTCCCGTAGCTGAACAAGCGCGGTCCACCCTGCACAGCATGTTCGGGACATTCTGTGCTCACACCAACAGCATTTAATGACCGACTGGTTGAGGAATGAGAAGCGGGAGAAGGCAGATGGAGGGGATATTTTGCCACTGTTCATCGTGTTTGTGCTTTGCCTACTACCATGACTTCCAGTGCCTATCAAATTGGCGCTGGCCCTAGTCTCATCGTCCATCTTATTTGGCTGTGGACTGGACGGCTCCGAAATACTTGGCCATCCTGCACCTCCATCTTCCTCCGAATGTCGAGAGCTTTGGGTAGGCCCTGTTATCAATTTATTCTTCAATGCAGCAACAGTAGGGAACGCAAGTTTAGCGTAGGCATCTGACGGCATATCATGCCAGAACTTGCATTTGCAGCATATTACAAACATCTTCGCAATACGCTGACCTGAATTAGTAGGGCGGCTGCCTCTGGATGAGCCGGGGCTCACACTGGAAAATCCAAGCAAGCTAGAAGAGCTTGAAATATGATCCGACCCAAGCCATGGCTTGCCTACTGGCTTAGTAAAGTAGCTATTTCCTTCTTCTTTCATACTCCTAAGAGCTGATATGCTAGCAGGGGAAGAAGGATGGCCCGGACTTGTGTTTTCAGGGGAAGGAAGAGGAGAATTTGGAGCAACTGGACTACTGGGGTGACTAGACGGCGGTTTCTCAACCGAGGTGGAGATCGAGTTGACCTCAGCCGAAATTGGTCGCTTTTTTTTTAGCTTCGCCTCGGTCTTGCCCAGTGACGGACGTAACTTATTGATGATATCAATCGAATTACGGTGTGGCCTTGCCGTATTACCATCATTAGTAGCTAATTTCTGCTCGCCATTCCCAAGCGAGAGGGCGCCGCCTTGTGCGCTGTCAATGACTTTTGACTTGCCATCAGACTTGGATGCCACATTTGTAGAAGTCTGACCCTCTGAGTGACCTTTACCTGGACCGTTCGTATCATTTGTGGTTTCTGCATTAAAATCAAGCACTGCTTGCTTAGCAGGAGGGGTATCTATCTCATTTATGGATGCCTTCTTTGCCCTACCAGGTCTCAGAAAACGGTCAAGAGAAAGTTGACGGGTTCCAGCAGGAATTGATTCTGCAACAAGTTGGTGTCCTTGTCCGGTTGGGAAAGTGACCATTGGCTGAACTGCAATTCCAGCACAAATTGGATCAGTATCGCCGTTGCTCGTTGCTGAACCCTTGGGTTCTGGACTGAAGAGAGGAGGCCCTGATAGCGGAGATGGCCGCAACCGCGCTGTTCGGCTGAAATTAACGGTCGTCTTTGGTTTGTTGTCGTAATTATTGAAATCTGAACTAGCTGCGGGCATGCCATCGACAATAACGGCTGTATCGGAAGTGCAGGAGGGATCTTGTTCCTCAGTTGTAGGTTTATCATGGATATCAGGCTCGTTATTCGACTCCGCTACTGGGTCATTGTCACGGGGAAGGTCTACAACCTCAAACAACTCCGTAGGCTTCTTGGCATCAGCTTTTGGAGAGGCACGAAAATCAGGATTGCGGTTGATTTTCTTAGATATATTGGGAGACCGCGGTTGAAGCGACACCTGTTCTTCCTTCTTAGGTGTTTGGCCAGCATTTTCTCTAGACCTGTCGAAATCATGAGTTGGGGTTTTTGGAATCTTGACAAAAAACGATTGATCCATGGAAGCGCTGCCGATATCGTCTGTCCGGGTCTCGGCCACAGGGCTTTTGAACGAGGAAGAAAACGGTATCCTTGACGGGGAGATTGGACCTGGTGATTCGATGTTATTTGCGATAGGGGCACGGGCCGACCATTTCTTCTTACTGCTGGGCCCGATAACAACTCCTTTGAATGATGGAGAGCTCTGGCCCTGACCTTTCTGGGCTGACTGGCCATTCCCAGGTTGGAACGGTCTTCCCTGTAATATTGGTTCATGAGCGTCAGCCTTGCCATCGTGGCATTCAGGGAAACCCTCAGGGGAGTGGCCTGGCTTCTTGGCTTGAACAGCCGGACTCGAATTCTGGTCATCAGCATCCTCATTGGAGTGTGACCTGGCTACAGAACGGAGGTCCCCATGTTTCTTGACAGTGTGTAAAGAATGCCTTGGAGCACGTTCCGGCTGTGCTTCGGAATCAGATACATGGCCTCTCTGTGGCACAGCATCCTTGGCTTTGAATTTCTTCGACCACATCCGCGGACGCCAAGCTCCTCCGCCTTTTTGCGCCATTTTCAAAGAGCCCAGAAAAGAAAGCCGCTTCCGGCCATCAGTGTCAGATCCCTGAATTGAGCTGGCTCTGGAGGATCTGTTTGACCAGAACGACCTAAAAGAAGATGCAGTTGACGGGCGCTGCATACGACTATTGGCGCTGGAGGCCCTGCTAGAAGTAGCTGGTGGAGGCCGCTTGGTCAGCTTCCTTGGTTCTCTCCGAGAGGTTCCACTATGCTGTTTCTTCGACTCGTGCTCTAGTTTTCGTTCCAAGTCTCGTTGGTCCTGTTCCTGTCGTTTTTGGTCTTTTTTTTTCGTTTTTTGTCAGCAGCTCTAGACCACGAAGGAGATACACAAATCCGGGAGCTGATTGATCGTTGGTCGGCCAAATCTTCCTCTTTAGGCAGCTCGCTGGGTCCGCTTGTATTTGTGTTATTGACATCGTGGCTGACTTCATTCACTCCTTCTTCCAGGACCCGGGGTTGTGGTGTTACATCATCGAGTGTCTTGATGATAGTTTTATCTCCGTATTTAGAGCTTGGGGTCCTGACGACGGAACGAGAGGACAAAGGCCGCTGGATAGAATCATCGAGTTCATAGGGGAATTCTAGTGCATCTCGATAAAACTTCGCAGGTGATTATTAGAATATGGTAACAATTCTAGAGAGGGGAGTCTCACTTACTTCCAAATCGCCCTCGGATATGGAATCTGGGCCATCAAGTTCTTCCTGGGGAGCCATTGCTGCGTGTCACAGTGGCAGGTGTATCGGTTAACCAGGTGCGAAGTTCTGTTTGATATGAGTGCCTTTGCCCAGTCACCGACACGTGTTCCTCGAGATAGGTCGGGTACTTAAGTATATTATCGAAATAGAGGCAGAAGAGAGAAGGGGGAGGGGAAATGGTAAAAGGGTGGTAATGGACGCTGTCAAAGGATACAAGAACGGATTCACTGCATCAAATGACAATACACCATAGCATGGGAATAGATGAAAACGAGAGACTAAGCAAGGACTTTTGTATGTTGATACTGCAGTGAGGGAGGGGGCATGCGCTAGGAGAGATTGACAAAGGCGGACTAGGGGATGTACAGCTCCAAGATTCAAGGCCACGCTCTTCCAGATATGGGTGGCAAGGGGGCAAGGGGGAGATGGACAGGAGGCTCTGGCAGATGCATCTAGACCAGCATATATCTAGGCAAGCATATGAGGGCCTAGATCCTGTGGAGTATGTAGGATATTGAAGCAGCTTCTATCTTCGCCGTTAGTGTGTGTATATATATATATATATATATAGAGTAATCCATAGATATATATTCATACCGGGTTCGGCAGGCAGTCCCAGAATTCGGGAATATCAATCAGTGCGAGGGCAACGGGCCCCCTTTTGAGCAAGAATATCTTGTCGACAGCAGCAGCAGCAGCAGCAGCACTTTGCATCCCATAAGGAGCGCTCAAGAGTCAGCCAGCTCTCTTCTCTCGATACTCCGTGGTGGTCGAAAGCTCCAGCCTGCCGCTACAGGCCGAGAGACTTGCTGGCAGCTTCGCAGCGGGCGCGGCGCCAAAGTCAATGGCAGCCAGGCAAGGCGCTCTTGACTGGCCAACTAGTTACTCCGGAGCAGAGGGAGGAGAAGGGCCAAGAGTGAACCACGCTGGCGACAGAAGGACAAGCCCAGGATCCGAGACAACGACGGCTGAAAAGAGCGTCTCTCCCTCGCGCTCTGGGGATCTCCATCGAGCTGAAGAGGCGGCTTGGATCGCTGGATTATTTATGATGCTGACGGCTCGTCGTTTTGCGTCTGGGAAAAAGGAACAGAAAAAGAAACGAAGCGATTCTCGCGGTTTGTTGTGTTGTTGTTGTTTTGCCACCGAGGTAACTTATAATTAGTCATGCGCTGCTCGAAACAGCCCGTTTAGTTATCATATCAGGACCTGGGCAGTCAACAACGACAACGACGACAACGACGACGACGACGACGACGACGACGACGACGAAGACCTAGTTTGGAATCAGTGTCACTCCGCTATAAGCGCCAGCCGCTGCCTGGGGATAGTGAGAGCAAGAAGAGTGGCGCCACGGAATAACTAGTTAACGAGCCAGTTAACTAGGCAGTCATAGCCACGGCTGCGTGATGTCTGTCTGTCTGTCTGTCTGGAGCTTCTGCGAGTCTTGGAAGCGCTCGAGCAAGTTACGAGTTATCTAAGAACGCCGGAACGACTGCTGAGAATCTGAGAGGCGTTTTGGCCCTTGTACGGAGCACTCATAACGTCGGCGTCTGCAGGTCTGGGCGTTTAAGTGCCGTGGTGAGCCTCGTCCTCGTCGCTACTCAAAAGCCTAGCATCTCCGGCGAATGTATAACTAACTACGGGGTAGTATTCCACATCAAAAACAATCACGCCCATCGTAAGGTAAGGTCCATTATTGTTTCCGCCACGCTATATGTTTCTCAGGCAGCCATTCATCCATTCGTCCATTCGTCCATTCATCCATCCATCCATCCAGCCATTCATTCATTCATTCATTCATAGGTCATATAAGACACGGGTGTTGGAATTCACCATTTTCTATCCTACGCCGAAGATCTTCAATGTCTGGGCTGCGCGACCGGATAAACTTATCAATGCGTCTATCAAGCCAGCGATCCATGCTATGGCAAAAGAACTGCCGCATGAGCTGGAGCTGGCGATCTGTCCGATTATATAAAAATCTCCGCATGGCCTTCTCGTACCGCGGGGAACACGACGTAAAAACCGCTTCTTGATAAAGGATCGCCTCCGCTTTCCGGTAGATTTCTTTGCATGTTAGAAGAAGTGGGAGAATATTTAGGGACGTGCCATCGGTTATCGGTGAGAGACACGGATGTATGACCTGGAATGGGGGGATGAGAGCATATCGCAATATGCGCCGTTGCACCTGTACGGGGAGACGCAGGAACGGGAACTGCCCTGGCCGTTCTGCAGATCCCTGGCTGCTATCGGATGCGAGCCCTAACTGGCCAGCAATCGCTCTGGCAAGCTCGTCATCCTTCGGCAACGGCTTGCCGTCATCCAAAGTGAACACGATCCCACCGGGGAGCCTCAGGGGAACATTAGTTGTCTGGTATCTGCCAATTGTGAAGACTTGTAGCAGTCTTGCCCTCTCAACAGGATGATTCGGGAGCTTGAAGTGAAGCATCCGGAGCGAGCTGCAGTCGCGGAAGACCAGATCCATTACATTCCTCCACTCGCAGGGAGCGACCTGCCAGAGGTAAGTGCTGGGGGAGTGCAGTTCAACTTGTATACGACGAACCAATCTGCGCTGTCTCGTGGATAGTCTATCCAGAAACGTCGTGATTGAGTGTCTGAATAAGATGCCAAAGGTGACATTTGAGTACATGACTCGCTCTGCCTCATCCCGAAGCTGCCGGCATGTTCGAAGAATGGACAAAGCACAAGAATCATGGGTAGCAGTCCGAGTCAATTGGATATCTATCGGCTCATGTTCGTCTGGATATACAGGCTCGTGTATGTTGCCTGCGCGGCGATACAGAATGGAAGAGCTTCTCCCCTTTGTGAACAAGACAAGAAACAAAATCTCGTCTCGTAGCTCAGCTGGCAGCCCCCGGAAATTGAAAAACCTGCGACGCCCAGCGTCCATTCTCAGGTGCATCTGTCGTGAGAAAATACACGGGCGTCAACGGTGAAAGATGGAAAAGGGGCGAGCATGGGCAGCAGCAGCGGGACTTTTTACAGCGTTTTTATATGCACGTAAAAAGAAATTTGAAAAAAAAAAAAAAAATCAAATAGAATAACCAAAATAACTAACAAACCACCCAGCTGGCTAACTAGTTGGCTGTTATCGGCCAAGATTCGCCTGATTCGCCCCTCGGCCGATTTGATAGCTGGTCGCGAGTCGACAAGGCAGCCTACCAGAGGTCCTTTTTTTTCATTTCGATGACTCCAGGGCCCCTTGTCTGGGTAAGTTGTTAGTTAAATACTACATTAGTTCACTTATTCAGACAGATATATATATATATATATATATATCGCACTGAGCCGGTTTGACTCCTCCCTGCTCGTCGGCAAACCCGTTCACCATGGCCGGTGTTGAGGCTCAGTTAAGCAACCCGAGCCAAATAAACTAGTTAGTTATCTGGTTGACTCCCCAGTTGGTTGGTTGGTTAACCGAACGGAAGGCCAGTCGGTTACCGAGCCAAAATCTCCATCCTGCTTTGTTCCTGGGCCTTTGGCCACTTTGCACTGCCTTCCAGGTACGACAGGGCCCAGGTCCTTTTGAGTCGGACAACCATTATTATTATCGTTATTATTATCATTATCATTATTATTATTATTATTATTATTAGTTATAACTAGAGTGCGCCCGCTCGTAAGCTGGGCCCTCCTGTCCTTCGTGTCATCGTATTCAAAGGGTCGGTCCTTCAGCTGGCGCATCCAACCCCTCGTCCGTGGCTCAGCGTGGCTCGGTAGTGGCCATGAGTAACTTAGCTGGTTAACGCAATAGTTGGTTAACTAACGGCTTTATCCAGGCAGATAAGAGAATTGGCTGGCCCGTTTTGCGCATGAGTCCCTGGATGGTGAGGGCCAGCCTGGTATAGGGGCCAGAGGTAAGAGCTTGCAGCGAGCATCCCCTTGATAGATCGTCTGGAATGTCGATGTATGATTTGCTCGTTGCTTTGTTAGGGTAGCCAAAAGCTCAAGCACTTCAGCCCCTTGCTAGCCCAGATGACAACCCGCTCTGGCGCTAACGCTCTCGTATGTACTTGCGTGCTCCTGGGAGCATATAAAGGTAGTTGGGCACCTCGATCCGCTGTCTTCTCCCTCTCTGGCGTTACTTGTCCTTACCCTATCCCAAAACGTAACTAGCCGACTGGGCCCCGACAGCAGGTCTGGTCAGATATCCCATCGCAACCCGGACAAGAAATGGCATTCCAGGGACAGCATCCCCCTGCGCAAGGAGGCTTTTACCCTCCTCCCCCGGGACCTGGAGGATATCAACAACAGCTGCCTCCTCCCCAGCAGCAGCAGCCGCAGCCGCAGCAACAAGTGCCGTATAGCTACCCTCCTCCGCCTCAAGGCGGCGGCGCCCATTTCCCCCCACCCCCTAACGCTGGATCCCCTCCTCCGGTAGCCCACACTCCACCGGTTCAATCTCCTCCTCCTCCCGTCAAGGTCGAGAATGTGCCTGGAGCCCCACCCCCGGGGCAGTTCGTTGGAGCTCAAGCTACCACTGCAGACGACGTTGGTACATTCAATGGCGGGAGCTACCGCATCAGTCACCGCGACACGAATTCGGTTCTCACTATCCAGTTAGCAATGGGATGCCCATTGACAGCAAAACCAGGTACGAGGGGCCACCGTTTTCGTTGAATTATAGTAGACCCTTGGTCCTAAGTCTTCTCAACTTCCACAGGTGCCATGATTGCCATGTCCCCTACTGTGTCTCTGAAAGGCTCCATCAAATTCTCCATGAAAAAAATGCTTGCTGGCGGGGAAATGTCCTCGTCAACGTTCACTGGACCTGGTGAACTACTCCTAGCACCCTCAATGCTAGGTGATATCTCTATCCTGAGGCTTAACGGACAAGAACAATGGTCGGTCGGTAAAGACGCATTCCTTGCATGCACTCAAGGAGTAGTCAAGGACTATAAAAATCAGGGCCTCAGCAAAGCGTTCTTCTCCGGAGAGGGCCTGTTTGTCTATAAGATAAGCGGAACGGGGATACTCTTTGTCCAGAGTTTCGGTGCGATCATAAGAAAAGATGTACGTTTTTCCTCTGTTTTCCCTTCCGCTTCAGCAAAAGGGCCTCAAGGGCTGACAATATAAATCAAACGTGTAGCTGGTCGATGGCGAAAAGTACATTGTTGACAACGGCCATCTTGTATCGTGGAACTGCAAGTATGTTATGGAACGCGTCGCTTCTGGTGGGGTATTGTCCAATCTCAGCTCTGGGGAAGGTCTCGTTTGCAAATTCACGGGCCCTGGAACGATCTACTTGCAAACGAGAAATCCCTCTGCTTTTGCTTCTTGGATGGTTGCGAACGGTGCTGCTGGTGGTGGCGGTGCCTGAACAAGCGGTCGTCAAATAGCCGACTGTTGCTCGGGGGGAGTGAGTTGGACGGGGCTGAGCTAGCATTTCTTGATTCAAGTATAATGATTTCTTTCACACTGCGAAAAATAGCCTATAATTAGCCGTAAGAGAATGGCTCATCCTTCTAAATTACGCTATTTAAGATGAAGTGTCCTTTCACATCCACCCATCTACGGGTCCGTCCGCTGTCCCAGGAAGCCCGTCAGCCAGAAAGAGCGAGTAGAATATTCTGTTCACAGTTGCAATTTGAAACCGAGCGCCTCCATACGAAGCAGAGATAAACACATGGAGAACTGATAAAAAAAAATGAAATAAAATAAAATAAAAACCCGGCCACCAGATGGTTGTCCGAGGAAATAAGCAACTGGACGGGTGGGATTGTCGAGTCACTCGTTAGATATGGCAAACATAAAGTCCACCAGTAGACGGAGAATGGTAAATGCTTCCTTATTGCTTTTTGCGCTTTCCAACCTGTCCACGGAAACCAGTTTTGATCGCAGTAACACTTCGTCGACTTCCACATGAGTTGCAGGTGACGAAGTAAAGGCGGTTTTCTCCCTTGCTCAGTTCCGTGTCCGGGCTCCTACATGTCTTGCAGGTAACATATTCAACTAGACCGACAATAAGATTAGTGACGTTTCAGAGACCAGTCAATGGGGTTTCAAAAACCACTACGTACCAATATATCTTCTGAGCACGTTCTCAATCTGTTTCTGTTGAAACCGACCCTTTATCACCAAGCGTCTACTGCCATCAACACTACCGCTTGTTCCCAATTCTGCAAACAAAAACTGCATAACGTGATCGTCAGATCGCTTCATCCTCTTGCAGATGTCGGGAATGTTGGCAAAAATGGTTCGTCGGTTTCCTTCACGCAGACATTGTGGTGGCGGGATCTTGTACGATTTCGAGCCGCTAGCGAGAAGGTCAGGGTGATGGCTATGGATAAGATTGAAGAAACGAGTCACTAGTAGTGAATAATTGATAGGTTGGGTAGCATCGTGGGCCCAAATCCCAGTTCCGCTCTCAAGAGCCTCGATAATCTGTTCTGGTGACTGTGTCTCTTCCGATGCAGCCTCCTCTGCTAGGCCAGCCTGAGCGAGCTTGGCCTCGAAGTCGCCCTCGGTGGTTTTCTTTGATGACTTCTTTTTTTTTTTCTTTATGGTAGAAGGATCGAATTCAGCATCCGCCGCACCGCCATCTTCGCCGTCCGCTGTGGCCTCTGTATCCTTGGACTTTTTTGACTTCTTCTTCTTCGTTAAGCCCTTGAACATATCGGTCATCTCGTTAGCTTCCTGGTCAGGCGACACTACATTCCATAAGTAAATCGGTTAGCTCATGGGTGGAAAAATGGGAGACAAAACGTCTATCAGAATGCAACAGGGCGCAAATGTACCAGCGGTGTGCTTCTCAGCAGTGGTCTTGTCCTCAGCATGATTGGCCTCGGAAATGGTACCGTTTGCGTCCATGACGGTTGCACCCTCACTGAAGGCAACTGATTTTCGATGTTTCCGTTCTGGAAGAGTAATCTCCTATTCAAGCGAACGAGGTTGTTCTGTTAGTCTCCAGTTATATGTGATGGTGAAGGAGTTTTATATTCAATCTTAGCGGGGATTTTATTTTATTTTTTTGGGGGGAGGGGGATTGTGGGCAAGGCAAATTTCAAATGACGTACAGTATCAGCCATGATGGATAGCCCGATGCTCTTTATAGCTAGATTCACTCTAGGACCAAGTCTCTTGATGGGTCCTTGCACAGAAAGCAGGAGAATACGTGAAGTGCGTTTTATACCTCGATGGTTTTTTTTTTTTTTGGTCACTGCAGCCGAAATAATATTTTGTTCAGGCGGTTTCGGTGGCGAGCCAAAGAGTGAGGAACCTTTTGGAACTAGCAGTCACGTGGTAGATGACTAATTAACGCTGTTGCTGCTGCGGCGCGCTGAATGTTTTTTAGAAGAGTGACATGACAACATAACACAACGAGCAAAAGACAGCCCAAAGAGCTGACGGTTTCAGTGGGCGTGTGTGTATAGATAAGGCGGTATCACAACCTCTGATGAAACGTGTCTAGCGATAGAGACGCTGAACGCCTGGCCGACGTGGGAGCACATTAGAGCAACAGCCAGGCCTCCCTACTACCACCCAGACATGTCGCTCTCTACACCAACCTTCGAACCAAGCTCCCTCTCTTCCTCTGTCTTCACTTTCACGTCAAGGACTACATCTGACTCGGAAGACGACGTAGCGTCGCTCCCATCCTCGCCAGGATCCGATTCATTCCTCGACCGCGACCTCTCGGTAGACAGTGACGAGGAATCCGATGCGGAAGCAGAATGGAGAGAAAGTCTCCATCAGCTCGAAATGCTATTGACAATGGTCTTAGTCCCGTTTGTTGGGAAGTTCCTTGGTAGAAAATGTGCTTACTGGGGTAAGTTGCTTTTCTCCTTGAATAAATATTCACATTTTACGGAGAACATACTAACTTAGGCCAGGATGGGGGAAAGTGATGGAATGGAAATACCCGATTAATACAACGACGATTGAAGCCTTAAGAGGTCAAGAAAAC